GGAGCCTGGAGAAGATGCTGACAGAAGAGCGGCAGCTCTGTTTAACCACAGCTGGTCTCACGGCTCCCTTGACCAGATTGTTATATGAGGCTGTTTAGAAGGAGCAATTGTGCAGCGTGTTTGCTGAAAAAATAGCTTCAGTGGTGGCCAGGCATCCTGGTTTTTGTTTGTCCCTTCTCCCTTGTAGAATGGGACTAATAGGAATAATCTACCAGAAGTCTATATATTGATGCCAAAGTTTTTCTCCCAAAGTCTGATCGTCTAAAATATATTTGCAAAAATTCTCATCACTGTTCAGCTCCTTAAATAGAAGGACGTCTAATATAGGACACCTAATATCAAGCTGTCCACAGGGCTCTATTCCCTGCTGGAAGCTCTGCAGGAGCACCGGAAACTCCTTTCCTTGCTTTTTTTCATGGATGTTAACTTGCATTTATGTTTAAAATTAAACAAGGAATTAAGAGTTCTACTTCCATCCCTGATGCCATTTGGAAATGGCAATATCATGCTCACTGCCTCTAATTCCAATTGTCTTCATACTGCACATCCCCTGAGTTCTGGGAAAGCTCGAGTGTCTCTTCCCATGTGCCAGCTATTGCTTACAGAGCTTGGTTTCATAATTTCATAATCACTGCATTGTCATTAGGAAATTAGCAGAAATTACAGTGGACTAGCCAATGTAAGGCATATGAAACCTGTATTAGCCTAATAAAAATAATTTTAAATTATTAGCCTCATAAAAATTAATTTTTAAATAATCAAGGAGGACTGTATAAAATGACTGAAATCCCATTTTAATAAGTAATTTTGTGAATTTTCCTGATTATAAAAAGTTGGAGAAATCCAATACTTTATTTTGTAAAAGAAAATGAAAATGTAACTTAAGTGAGTTTTTAAATCATTCTAGATGAGACTCAGAACACTCCCTGAAAGATGGTAAGTGGTCAAATATATTTAATTACTGGATGAGGTAGGGGACTGAAAGAGTTAGCACCAAGAGCTTATAAAAAGAAGACAAAAGAATTAATAACCATGTGTTTTTCTTAAAGGCAACTGAACTGAAAATATAGTTTTATACCTTTTAGTCAAAGACTGAGATCTAACTGGTGTAACTTGAATAACAGGAATGCATTTTTACATGTTGCAAATATAGAAATTGAGATAATTTAGATAAGAGTTAGGATGAAGTTTACTTTTACTTTATGTTAAAAAAATGTTTCCTAAGAAAGTGCACAAAGTAAGGAAAATTGCTAGGATGTTTTATCTGTGAGAGAGAATAAGTTGTTTTCAAGCTCATACCCCCCCATCCCCTTTCAGCATTCGTTGAGAACTCACTCTGTGGGTGTATTAGTTTTCTACTGTAGCTCTTTAACAAATTACAAACTTGGTGGCTTAAAACAATACAAATGTATCTTACAGTTCCGTAGGTTGGAAGCCTGACATGGGTCTCACTGGGCTAATATCAAGGTATACACAGGGCTGCATTACTTTCTGGAAGCTCTGAAGAAGAATCAGACTTGTTTCCTTGCTTTTTTTTTTCTTTTTCTTTCAATTTCTAGAGGTCGTCTATAATTCCTTAACTCATGGCTCCCTTCCTTCATCTTCAAAACCAGCAACACAGCATCTCTCTGACCGTTCTTCTGTGGACCCATCTCCCTCTGACCACAGCTGGAAAGGTTCTCAGATTTTAAGAACCCATGTGATTACATTGAGCCTACCCAGATAATTCAGGATAATCGCCCCATCTCGAGGCCCTTAACATTCATCGCATGTGGGAGGTAGTGTTCGGTTCACAGGGCTCTGAGCCAGCATCAGAAGATACTAATGTAGATATATTTATTTTAAATAATTTTGGTGTATTTGGTGTATTCATATTTATTAATGAAGGGAATAATCAACTCCCTTTAAACGAAAGACTTCCCTAAATTGCTTGAAATGTTTTTATGTACATAAAAATAATTTAATAATTGTTTAATAATAATAATTCCATTGCCTTCTGCAAGTCTACATATTTTACATAACTTAATTGTAATAACAATACAATTTTATATACATGATAGTATCTTACATTCTGTTCTTTTCACTTACTTCATATATATATTATTAAGCAAACAGGCTGTATTTTATTAAACTTTACTCCTGATACTAGAGATTTATTTGTTTGCAGTTTCTTACTAGGTTAGATAATTCTTCACTGAACATTCACTTATTTGTCCAGCTTTTTCCTTTTATTGAATAAATCCCTTGGAAAAAATTTCTTTGAAAGAAATTACAGAGTCAGAATGTATGCCTACCCATTTTTCTCTTCTTATTTGTTTATAGAGCCATAATTTTGTTCAGGTATTAGGTGGTAAATTGGTCAAGGACCAGGGTGTAAGCCCCAGAGAATGTATTTGTCTTATAAGCCAAACCTGGAAATTTCCATCTCCTGTGCCAGTGATTGGTTTAAGAATTACCTGTGACTCAATTCTGTCCAGTAAGACCGAGCTGACGTTTTTATAGCTGGTGAGGATTTGATCAGAGCTGAGATTTAGAACGCCGAATCTGTGTAGTGCTGACATCTATTTGCACCATCGGGGTGTCTGTTATCACTATAATTCAGATGAGAGGAGGAGCTGAATGAGGATGAGACTGGAACAAGAGCAAATGGCAGTGCAGAGGTCAAGGCAAAAGAAGTATTCGAAGGTGATTCTGACGTGTTGAGCCAGGGTGACTGTGTAAGAAAGAAAGTGCCATTGTTGGGATGGTAGGTTTTTGGGTGTTTGGGATGCCCAGGGATGTTGGGACCCCTTCAATTTGGGATGTGTGACCTGAGGACAGAACATCCAAATAAATGTGAGCCTTAAGAGAGAGACATTTTGGGTTCAGTAGAAATGTACCGTGAGCAACAAATACAAGTCACATATATAATTTTAAATTTTCTAGTAAAGTCATTTTTAAAAAAGTAACAAGAAACAAGTGAGGCTAATTTTAATAGTGTACTTTATTTAACACACTATATCAAAGATAGTATCATTTCATTAGTCATTACATATCCCAGCACCTCAGTTTTCTCCAGCCACGTTTCAAGTGCTTAATAGTCATGTACATCTAGAAAGATCAGTTTAGGAGCTGGTAATAAAGTCAGCACCTTTCTTTGTTTGCAGGTGTGAACCCATGTTCGGGTTGTTCCTGCTTTTTTTTGCTGTTACGAACAATGCTGTGATGAACAGTCATACACACAATTTCTGGTGCAGCAGTTAGGGGCAGTGTACTCTTGGGAATGGGACTTGTGCACAGCAGCAGCGGAGACGGGCCTCGTTGTCTTCCCAGGTGGCTGCTGCAGCTCACGCCCCTGCTAGTAGGATGCAAAAGCATCCACATGGCTCCACATCCCAAAGTCACGTTTCATTTTTGTCAAGCTAGTGGGTGTAAAATGGTTTCTTACTCTGTCATAATATTCATTTCTCTGATGATTAATGAGCTTGAATACCTTTCCAGATCCATTTGAATCTTCATTTTTTTCTCTTCTCTGGAAATCACAAATATTTATTCATTCAAATATAAGTGTATTTATATTATGTATGTTATAGACGTCATATATTATATTTGTATATGGGTCATATATTCATTTACAAACGGTTATTGAACACCCTCTGCTAAATACTGGTCTAGGTACTGGGAATGAACTAGTGAGGAAAAAAATGATATAGTCCCAAATTCTGCCTTCATGGAGTTTACATTCTAGTGTGTATACAGTGACCAGGGAGAGACCAAAAAGAGGTAAACTGCTGTCTGACGTATGTCAGTGAACCTGGGTTTAAGTCTGGCTCAGCCATTTTACGTCATTAAACCTTGGTTTCTGCAACTGTAAAAAGGAGATGGCAATAATATTTATCTTCTATTGTTTATTAAATGCATATGAAGAACTTCACACAGTGTCAGGCAAATTGTAAGGATTCGGCAAATGCTAATGACAAGAAGGAAGGAGAAGGAGAGAAGAGGAAGAAGAAAAAGAAAATATAGCTACTATTTTCCCCTTTCTTGCTTCTATTTTTTCTTCTAGGTTTTTTTTTTTTTCTTTTTCTCCAGTTACAACTACTGAAGTTTCAGATTACATATGTTTTGGTTTTTTTGAAGCGTTGGCTCTCATTTAGGTGTCAACCTCCTGGCATTTTCTGCAGCAAGACAGACGACTTTGGCTAATTTTGAGATGTGTTGTTTTCCAACTTCTTAAATCCCAAGAACCAAGAGCCTCAGTACATGTACTTTTAAAAAATCTGCATCACGTTAAATAGGCAAAAATGTGGGAAAATCCAGAGGAATATCTTATATAATTCAGGGCTGTGTTCTGTGAGTATAAATGTTGCTTGAATTAATCATTTCAATCCAATAACCAATTTATTGTTAATTTATGTGCAAAGTACCGTGTAGGGGAGATGTATATGACTGTATTAATCTCTGGAATAATAATTTGTCCCTTTTTCTTAGATAATGATGTTGAAAATGATCTTCAATCATACATCAGTTGAGCACTGCAAGTCGTACACAGAAAAGCAGAAACAGTGCAGCTTCTTCTTAATAGCTGTTCGCCTGGCTTCACTGAACCAGATCTTGGATCCCTGGGTTTATCTGCTGCTAAGAAAGATCCTTCTTCAAAAGTTTTGCCAGGTAGCAAATGCTGTCTCCAGCTGCTGTAATAATGGAAAGAAAGTACAGACTATCTCACTATCCAATGAAATAACACAGACAGAGGCATGAAAGAGAACTCTTAATCAACTTGCATGTTCACAGCTTTTGGCAACAAATAGCCCTAAACCTTACTGTGAATTTAGGCATATCTGGCATGCCACTGTTTATGCGTTGAAGTAGAATTTTTGGTATAAGGCTAAATGGTCTCAGAAGCATAGATAAATCCCCTATTTGCCAGAAGTATTCAAACACAAACAGAGGAAAATAGATTAATAATAGTCTAGTGTTTGGGGGACTCTGTCATTTGTAGCTGAATATGTGATTATTTATTAGGTGAAGACTTTTTTTTCTATATAAATGATCTTGGTCTGTGATGGGGCTGGTATGGGAATAAATATTCTAGTATTCTGAATACATGGGGAATTTAACACACAGATCGTTGAAGAAAGGGTTTGTTTTTGCTGAAAGACCTTGGCCTTCTGCTTTCTCTTTTACTCTCTCTCTTTCTCTCTGTGTCACTCTTATTCCCCTTACGTTTTTTTAAAAAGTTGAGTTAGGATTAAAAAAACATCTATAATGTATCCACAGTGTTCATTGGTACTGATGTTATTTAAATATTGCTCAATATGTAAATTAGCTGCTAACCTTACAAAGTTTAAGTTTTGGTTGGGTTGGTAATTAGGTTTATTCATTATCTGAATGAGTCAGTTCCATTTATTTCAAAAATGACAGAGTTTGTGACCATCCAAATTGCTAAATGTTCTTCCTTTTGATTACATTTTTAATTCCTACAAGCCTGCAGAAGATTTGTAAAACTGTGCTTGGGAGTCAGTGAATTGATTTTTAAAAATACTATTTAAGGACTGATTTGAGCACTAAATATAGGTACTCTGGCTAATTATCTTCCCTGATTTTCCACCAAAAGTATTCTCTTCAGTATTTTGGATATTTAAATACTAACTCTGATTCTAAGACCAATAAATATTTTGAAGCTTCCATAAAGACTTTCCATAGTTTGGCCTATTTATAGGATTAGGAAATTAATAATACTGATCCCTCACAGCACTTTCTCTGCCCTCTTCTCAAAGTAGCTCTATCTAAATATTTATTCTTAAAATGTTTCTCTCAGGGTCTACATGTGTACAAACATTGATAGCTAAGCTTGATATCTTTTTGGCACAAGTAGGTCATTACGTTAAGTTTTGAGAATTACACTTAAACAGAAGAGTTCCCCAACAAACACAACAATCTTTCAAATCAGACCTACATAATATGTTCTTCATACTCTTTAGAGCATACATTTTGCTGACTTACTAACATTTTCTCATGAAGATTTTTAATTTGCTTTTTCCTTTACTGCTTTCCTAGTTTTAAGAAGCTTGAGATTTATTTATACTCCTTTATAGTAACTACATTTGTGTTTGTGTTCAGTAAGCATTTGGGGAAGAATTAATTCTAAGAGGTACAAAATATCTATTAGATTAATATGTACACCACTCTAAGTCAATCAGGAGGAATCAATTTAAATGACCATGTCAAATTGAGTGAGAAGGCAAGATATGCTGGGAGCAGAAATAGAGACACAGATGTAGAGAACAAACGTATAGACACCAAGGAGGGAAAGTGGCGGGGATGGGGGGTGGTGGTGGGATGAACTGGGAGATTGGGATTGACATATATACAGTAATATGTATAAAATAGATAACGAATAAGAACCTGCTGTATAAAAAATAAATGAATAAATATAATTCAAAAATTCAAATAAAAGAAAAAAATCTGCTGGGAGCACTTTTGTAACTCATGATCGTTCCAGTAGTCTAGGTTTTGGAAAAAAATGATGATAAATAACCTATACTAAAACCCCATTATAAAATCTCTCTATGCCATAGAATTGGATTATCCTACAGGTCACCTCATGGAGGATGAAACAAAACTACATACTTTTTTTTTTCAGGAAAAAAGTGCACTTAAATGACCTTATCGTGAAGAGGTTTTACCTCTTGAGTGGTCCTCAGACCCTAGGTTTAGATATACACATAGTATAGATCCAAGTGGTATGAGCTTGATTGGGTTATTTCTTCCAGCACCTAGTACAGCACTTGGAATATAGAAAGTGTTCAATGACTGTTTGTTCAGAGAATGAATGAATCATTATCTGCCAAAACCAAGTGCACATTGGTGGGGCCCCACAATATGGTTGAAGCACTTCATGCCATTACAGACCATCAAGCTGATAAAGTGAATGATCTCTGCTTGTTTAATTACAGAAACACAAATTTATCTTCAGATGTGCAGTGTCATATTGCTGCATAACAAAGAGCGTTATTTGTATTAATAATTTAAGAGACTGCTACCCCCAAGTGGTAATTGAGATTATTGTCAAAGAAATATCACTTTTCATCAAACCACAGAAATGCATAAAGACAAAACAGCCTAAAACTCATGCTTAACTACAAAACAAATTCCTGCCCAGGGATACATGGTAGTTGTAGATGATGGCAGTTTTTGAACAAGCTTGAAAAGGAATCTAAAAAAAAAAAAAAGTGGTTCTGAAGAACCTAGGGTCAGGACAGAAATAAAGATGCAGACGTAGAGAATGGACTTGAGGACACGGGGAGGGGGAAGGGTAAGCTGGGACAAAGTGAGAAAGTGGCATGGACATACATACACTACCAAATGTAAAATAGATAGCTAGTGGGAAGCAGCTGCATAGCACAGGGAGATCAGCTCAGTGCTTTGTGAACACCTAGAGGTGTAGGATAGGGAGGATGGGAGAGAGACGCAAGAGGGAGGGGGATATGGGGACATATGTATGCATATGGCTGATTCACTCTGTTGTACAACAGAAAGTAACACAACATTGTAAAGCAATTATACTCTAATAAAGATGTTTAAAAAAATAGAATTAATGAATAGGTAAATAATTGAAACAAGTAATTCTGGAATAAACATCTGGACATAAGAGGCTATCTTTTTAGTAGACTTTAAAATATAATATTATTGTCAAAAAAAAAAAAGGAGATGGAAAAGGAAGAATTATGTAAACAGCATGTGAGTTTTGTTATGTAGGCAGCCATTTGTTAGTACATGGAAAACCTGATAAGAAATATAAGTCCTAAATGATATCAGCTTTTGGATGATAGTTGAAGTTAGATTTCAGAGATGTTGTTCAGAGGCCCTAGATGTGGTTAGGAAGTAAACATCTAAAGCCACTGCAGAAGAGTATGTCAGTTTCCACGTTTAAGTTCATTGGCCTTTAAATTCACTCGCATATACTTAGTTTATCCATGCGTGTATCTGAGCAGGAAAAAAATGCATGCATAAATTATGAGAATTACAGAACTTCTCAGTATTGATTAAAAAAAAAATAGAGACCTAGGAAACTAAATAGAACGTAGTGAGTGAATGCAATGTAGAAATATATGTAATGTCAGCTGTAGTAGATTTTACGAAGCAGTTTTGATTTTCCAAACAGTGAATTTATACCGCTATGTCGTGTCACAGAAGAGAATGATGACACGTCAACCAATTAGAACAGTTTACTTTTCAAATAAAATAAGTATGGTAGATATCTTTAAAATATTTTAAATTGAAGAAACAAAATGTGTTATCCCAAGATTTATCAAATTTACCTAATGCTATATATGAAGTTATTTTAAGTAAGCATAAGCATTTAATCATGCCAGATTTAAATGATTGTCAAGTTTAAAGTGCACATATATACTGAACACTTCTTTATTATATAAAAGACCTCTTGACCATGTTACGGAATAAAATTGTGGAAGCTCATGTAAAAATTAACTATAAAAGACCCTGTGACCACACTGGCATTGAGTAATAGACAAACTAAAAACTTTGACAAAACAGTATTTTAATAAGGTGGACAATCTGTGGCAGTATTCTAATATTAAATTTTCAAGAATTAAGAATTTTATTTATTTAATACTTTATATGTTTTTGTTGGTTTTGACCCCAGATTAGTGATCTGCTTTCAGTCTTCCCCATGTCAGTTATCATAGTTCTTTGTATTGGGATTAAGTCAGCTACAGAAAATAGAAAAATTTTGTTTTTTGAAATTTTAGGCACATTTATTGCCCATTTATTCTCATATTTTAACCCCAAAGCTTCTCTTGAAATATACAGATTACTAGAAGATGAGTGACACAGAGAGACTTTATTACTACAGAGAGTATTTATTACTACAAACATATAAAAAACTTAGTATGGAATAATTAAAATTTCCATGATTTACCTCTGTAAAAATTTAGGTCACCAACCATGCCCAGTCTTCACAACTGCTTGTTTATTGCTAGCTTTGTGATTGTGTTATGTCTCAAATCTGCAAAAATTGAGGTCTAAATAAATGAAAAGAATTGTTCAATGAATGAGATTATAACATTTTTTAAATGAAGAGTAATATTGTGGCTAAATTGACAGAACTGTTTTCTGAGTTGCAATACAATGCTAATAAGAGGTGACATAATCTGTGATGTTTCCTAACATAGGTTATGATAGAGTCTATTTACAAAATTTGGAAATCAGTCTAAAACTCACATGCACATTTGTTAAGAAGCTGCTATCAGTTCAGAATTCTAAGACCACTAACAGGTGGTGATTATGTATGAAGCATGAAACAGAGAATTAGGGAAAATTCAAAAATTAAAACTCCATTATACTGGTATCATTAATATAGTTACTAATTACATGTAAAAGTTCATTTCCCCTGGATTACTCTCATGCAAAAGGTTTCAATTTTATAATGATTCATGTTGTAATTATTAAGTAAAATTTTTCACATGCCTTCCCTGAATGCCTTTTTTGGGTTGAGTCCACCTTAAATAAAACTGAAGAAAGTAAAAAGAGTAGTACTTTGTTCTCAAAGTGACAAAGGGAAAACTGAAACTATACATATTCATGAAGGACTTCAACAAGTCTAGAAGTGAGGCATTTTTTTTTTCTAAGGGAGGTCGACAATTATT